GTTTGGAGGGCGAAAGGCGCTGGCAAGATACTTGCGTATTGTTGAGACTCGAAACGCAGCGATCAAATCAAGGATGAAGATATCACTCTGCCATTGGTTCACATGAGGGCCAAGTCCACTGATTCAGCTCAGTGTCTTGAGATTTGATCAGCTTAGGTTTGTGATAGACATAGCTTGACAGTCTTGGCACAAATCATTGCCAGTATGGCCAGGGCGGATAGCATTCTGCGAGGATACATCTTGAATCTTTCCCTTTCGCATGACGGTGCAGACCCTCTGATTCATGCTGAAACTGAGCACTGCGCTGGCAATGTTGTTGGCGGCGCAGGTGTTGTAGTGTTTTGCTTCCATAGCGTTCATGTCCGCCCGTGGCATTTGTTGTGGCCTTGAGTGTATGCCGCGTATGCCTTTGTTTGGAGGGCGTACGGAGCTGCCAGGCTAGTTGCATAGTTTCATGGACTTAATGTTGAGGCATGAGAGAGCTGGCACATGCGGGCCCAGTCCGCTGATTCAGCTCAGAGTATTGAGATTTCATCCTGAGATGTGGTTTGCTTAAACTTTTGCTGATCGATGCGGCCTGGTCAGAGTTATAGTTAGAGTAAAATAGCGTTGCCCTTTGACTATCAGCTTGGACTTGGCCACGGCTGTCTGCTGCACGACAAGGTCCGCGTGACTCTGCTGGTCGGCGGCCCTTGCAATGTCGGCCCAGGAATGGTCGTTGGGGAGGACCAGAAAGAAACCACCCGGAAGACGTGATCAGTTCTTGACACCCTGGCAGGAGCTTGCAGAGACCATAAGATCTCATTTAGACCTTCAGAAGGAGACACCCAATGCAGGGGCCTTTGGTCTTACTGAGCTGCATTTGCCTGCTGAATGCTTGGGTCCGCCTTCGCCCAGGCCAAGCACACGAAGAAAGCGCTAAAGTTTTACGCTTCGCTTGCCTCAAGGGCCAGGAACTTGAACTGTCTGGAAACGTTGTGCGGGTCTGATCTGGCAAGCGCTTTGTGGTGGCCAAAGGCTGTAGCTTGCGGCTTCGCGGTCGATATTTTTGCGTGCTCCCTCGATCAGGCAACAACCATTCAAAATTCTCAGCGAGCGCATCCAGCTCACTGATGCTTGAAAGCGACAGGTTGGTCTCTATGAGATGAAGGTCATTTCTGACAAGACTGGTGGCTACATGGCGTGGGCCTACTGTAGTCGTGTAGGAGCAGATTGCAAAGTATCAATCCTGATCCATGCTTATACCTGCAACTGGTCTTGGAGGTCATGAGTGACTCCTTCAGCATGCATGTCTTCAAGGAAGTGCACAGCTCTTGCTCAGATTGAGGGCGAGCTGCTGTTAACTCCTTGACCCTCCAGGACTCTTTCCGGAAAATTTTCGAGCCTGACGAGGACACCCATGGTGAATCTTGTCAGCTTCCGAGCCAGTCGAGCCTGCAGAGCCTGCATCATCCTGACAGACGGGCTACTTGAAGCTTGGCTTCAATGCCAAGATAGAGGCGGCTTCCCAGCATGGCGAAAGCGCACTCATCCGGCTCGACAAGCAATGCTGAAAGAGAGCTTGCATGTCTTGTCTCAGGGTTGAGCCTTTCGGGCTCAAACTGTGGATTAGGGTTTGATTTATACAGATGCCAAGACCTTTGGTTTTGGCTCCTCATGTCGTGTCGCCTCCGCAGAGTATGCTCTCCAGGGAGATGTTGACTCTCTTGGTCATCTGCTTGCAAGGCTCTGCAACCGCGACCTCGCAAGTGCACATTAATGCCGACGGCAGCATGGCCGAAGCTCGAAGAATGATGAGAGTAGAAGACACGTCATTACAGCAGGACGAACGTGCATCAGGGCAGCGCTTGGCTGCAATAAACTCCCACAGAGCTGTAGCAGAGACAGAGGCGACAGAAGCAGATCATGCGCAATCAGGCATTAGCAGCTTTGTTGAATGTTCTGTCGAGGGTGGTACATGTGAATGTGATGGTGTTGTGCTTTACGGCCGGGGAACTTCGAACTGGAAGGAACTCAGAGCAGAAGGCTCCGTGCTCTGCACAGCAGCATTGTTCGACACAATACCAGCGCCTGAGGGGGAAGCAAATGTTTGCAGATGCTACTCGCTCCACTGGTGTGCCGAGAACAATGTTGACAAGCTCAACTCGGATGGTGCGCACAGGAGAAGGAATGCTCATGGGATCCCGGGGCGGAATCTCCACCAGCGGCGGCGTTGGTGTGGTTGGGGCCCGCGTGACTGTGCCTGGAGCTCTTGGAGCAAGTGGAGTGACTGTTCCGGAGGCAAGCAGTGCGCAGAAACAGGCATCAGTCGGCGGACTCGTGAAGTGGAAATGGAGGCCGACAACGGAGGTGGCTGCAAGAAAGAAAGCACAAGCGAAGAGACACAGTGTCACTGGGTCGGCTGTAAGGACAAAAACTCGACAGACCGCAAGGATGGCAATGACGGCAATGCTGAAGTGGCAGCAGATGAAACCACCACAGCTGAGCAAAGGGAGCGCCAGAAGCGGATGGCTTTGGCCAGGGCCAAGCTCAGCAAGTCCCTAGCAGAGGCTGAATCTGCAGTGGCAAAGTCCGCAGACCTGGTTGAGGCCACTGCATCGGCCGCGGGTGCTGCTGCAGATCTGGCAAGCGAGGCCCGGTCGAAGGTGCTGTCTGCAGCTCGGGCGGAAACCGGCCTGACTCCAACACGGCTGGGAAGGATCGCGGCTGAGGAGTTCCTTCCAGTTGTTAGGACAGTCAGCTCTGAAGTGAGGGCAAAGGTAGTATCACTTGCGGGCGAGGTCATTTTGATAGGCATGGGCAAGTCTGACGTTGAAGACTTAGAGACGCCACAAGTGGTGAGTGCTGCTGCCTCCAAGATTGCAGATGCTCTTGGCCTGCTCGCACCCACCACCTCTGCCTTTCGTGGTGAGCCTGATGGTCTACAAGTCTTTGGCGCTGACATAAAGACCAGCACTGTGGCACCGATCCAAATCTTCCCCAAAGACCTCGCTGACGAACAGAGCCTCCAGGGCTGAGCCCCTAACGATTACATGCAACTCGGAGGAAGATGTGGGTAAAATCCTGCATGGCTGTAGCTGCGCATTCCTGCTCATTCAAAAAGCTTTTCTCTTCATTACTCATAGTCATAGCATCTCGAGACCACCCATTTTTTTGCTTTCTGCTAGTTGATGCACCAACAGAAAACCGGGGCAGGTGTTCACATCCAGGGAATTCAAATGCTGTGGCGCAGTTGGTGGTCTGTCGCCGCGAGCCTAGAGAAGTGGGCCAGATTTGCAATCAACATCAATTAATACCGTGCAGCTTGGCACCTCTCAGGTCTCTTGGCAAGAAGGGGCCGTGTGTTGCAGAAACTGAAATTGGTGAAGGCAACACGTGCCAGTGGGTTTATTGCTCAGTTTTTTTTCAAAGAGCTTTTCTCGCCACCTGACTTGCCACTGCTTTAGGTTGCCGGCTCCCTCGACCGCAACACAACCATCGGTTTCTACTTTGACATTGCCCAGGCCAGGATCGGACGTGTCCTTCCGTGCCCCTGACGGAAACTTGTTGAGGCCGCCACTGCAGCCGCCGGGAAGCAAGCCTTTTTGCAGCAGGGGCCTCATGGGACCATCAAAGAAACAGGAGCTGAGCATGTATGGCGACGCCTTGATCCATGAAAACTCGAGGTTCCAGACTTGCTACCTGCATCCTTCGGGCAGGAAGCGCCTGAGGGTAACCACGGTGCAGGGGACCCAAAGCAATGGGTTTGGGTCGGAGGCGGCCGAAGAATATGTTGAGGTCCCATCGGTTCACCGATGCGCAGATGAGCGACATCCAGCAAGGCGAGTGTTGGCCTCTTGTTCAGGCTTCGTGAATTTACTCGGAGCAGGTTTCGATCAGGAGGCTGCAGCAGTGCTCATGGCCCGCTATGCAGTCTTCAAGTGCGAGAATGAGGCGGGACAAAGTGAAGCCCAAATGCCTAAACCCGAACTGCTTTCGGCCATGAGAGTTTGCAGAGTAGCCCTGAGCAAGCTTTGGTTGCTGAGATCTGCTGATAAGTCATGTCACAAGGACCCTTTGGATGTGCTGCGTTGGGTGGACCGCATGCTCATCCGACCCATGGCGGCATCTAGATACTGGATGTACCGAGTACCCAGCATATCTTTGGCAGAATCTGCAGCTGCTTGAGGCCTAATGCATTCATGACCTGCTTTCTCCGTGATTACTTTGTTGATGGTGCCCTGTCGTAGTCCTGCACAACGGTGAGTCTTTCCCAGGTCTCGTCTCAAAGTTTGCTGATTATCGCAAGGCCTTGGCTTCAAGACATTGGAAGCGGGTACATGACATCTCTTGACAAGCTTCCTATTTTTCCCCCGATGTAATCCAGGCATGTCTCAGCCTGCTGGTCAGCTGTGCAATGTTATGTGAATGTTTGCTGCTGGCTCAAAGAGTTCCGGCGTCTTCAGCAACTGCTGAGTCGTGTTCCTTCTTTCCAACGCGATATCTCTCGCCGGATCCTTATGAACTTGATGATGGCGTTAACTGCATAGCACGGCTTGGCAAGGTACGCCTGATGACGCACCCTGCAGGAGCGAGGCTTTCTGACCTTTCCCAGCCCCAAACTTAAGTCCTCAAGCATCCAGCATGGGCCTCCAGGCACATGCGCAGCTAGGTTATTAAGGTGAATTTGACTTCGATGTGCCTACGACATTCTGAATCCAGCCACCGCATTTGCTGCACATGTAATGCAGGACAAGCCCAGCAAAGCAACTCTGGGTTGTGGTCTGCTAGAGAAGGTCTGTGTTTGCAAGTGTGTTGCAGCTCTAGGAGCCACTGCAGAGAGCCAGAAGGCAGTGGATGCACTTGGCACTAGCGGGCAGTAGTGGCAAAGACTTGCTGACTTCCGAATCCGTTTCTAACCCCGTGCTAGGCGCAAATTCGTCAGCCGCGCAGGCGTGTGGGAAACCGCAATGCCGCGGCCTCAATGCCACAAACTGCCTGGTGCATCCATGCATCCATTTCTGAGCTAAGGACCGCGCTCGCGCACCATCCAAAGAGGAAGGGCAGTGAAATAATTGAATTGAGCTTGTTGTAGAACTGCTGCTTTGGGAATCACAGCTCCGGGTCGGTACTTGCTTGGACCTGCTGACTGTGAACTCAGGGCGCGCCAGCTGCGACTCTTGCCATGGGGTTGAGTACCACAATCTCAGCTCAACGTTTGCGCTGCAACCCCCTGCCCGGATCTCCGGTGTCTCTCTCTGCTTACGTGCCAGCCAAGCCAGAGCACGAGAGAGTATGAATGTTATGAACTGGGCCGCAAAATGCTTGAAACAGTACGCTTCCTGCCATGGATTACACACATGGCAGAGTATGGAATTTCCTGAGCATCGTTAGTTTGGAGATTTTGAGTTGCTGGAGGGTAGCTTGGATTCTGTGTTTTGTTCTTGTCGTGGTTCCGGTGTGGTTCGCTGCCGAGTGCACCCTGGTTTCTTGTGTATGTGATTCTCCTTTAGACGCTTGCGTGCATCCCCTCACAGTGTTGTTTCGCAGCGCGGCAGCATGCTTTGCACAGGACAGCATGGAGCAAATTGCCGCGCCCGCTCAGCCCCGAGCACTGCTTCAGATGCCGCTGCTTGTTTCATTTGCAGAACATGTGATCTCCCGCCGCTGAGGTCATGGAACTCGTGACCAAAGGCAAGATGGAAGAGGTTGAGGTCTTTCTTCAACAGGCCTTGTGATCCATGCAGCACGTTTAGTTTGCCTGGAAGATTGTTGACAATCTGAGCTAGGAAGCCAACAAGCCAATGGTCACGAAGGCAGGTTGCCATCGCATTCCTATAGATCGGCTCAGTGATGCAAAGCGTCTTGTGCAGGCATTCTACCACTGGATCATCCACGCCTGCCAGACGAAACTGAGCAATCCCGAGGCACTGCTTTCGGGAAAAGTGCTTTTTGTTGAACGTGCTTCTTGCCAATTCAGCGATGCTTTTTCTTTACGATTTTGCGAGGCAGCACGTTGGTTTGCCACTCGCATGGAAAAGTCAGGCTACAAAGCAAATGCCGCGCTCTTAGCCCGGGTCGTCCCATAGGGCTTTGCTGCTTGTTCGGGATGCCTTGAGCTCGTTTGCTGGAAACTGCGGCCTGGTTTGCAGCATTTGCAGGTTGTCACGTTCAATTGCATGATTGGATCCTGCATCAAAAATGGCCCTGGTCTGAGCCGTGCTGGCGTGGACTTGGAAGCACCTATCATGGACTTAGTGTACTTAGGTGACCTGGAGCAAGCCCGTGCTTGGCCATCAACCAAGACGGATTGAATCCAAACAAGTTGTTGACAAACCTCGAGAGCATCTCAAGGAGGTGTTCAGTACATGTTTGAACACGCTCTCAAATCACAGTACTATCCTGAGGTGGGACGTTATGACTGCCAGCGGCATCAAACCCAATCGGATCACGTACAATATCCTCATCAGCTTGTGTGCCAAGGCTCTTTTCATGAACACTTTTCCCATTGCTGTGTTGCTAGACATCTAGCTACTGTCTGATAGACCCATGACGCTGCTGCCGCGGAGAAGTGGATGCTGCGTATGATGGAGCAAGGCTGCGTGCATGTGCGAATGGCACTCGAGAATATTCGACAGGAGTTGTGTCAGACACAAATAGATGAGGCATCAAACCGTGCACCGTGTCCTTCACAGCAGTCATCAGTGCCTTTGCCAAAGTTGGCGAGACTTGGCCGAGATGGATGAGTCCTGCATTTAAGGGTACCAGCATCGACCAAGCTTTCGGAATTAAGGACCTCGAGTCTGCCGAAAAGTGGTTCTACCAAATCGAGGCAAAAGCTTTCTCGTGACATGTTAAGATGCGTGATGAGTCGAAGATGATGGCTTTCTTGATGCCAATTACTTGCAGGAGTCTGGAGAGGCTCCGCAGAATCCATGCATTGTGCAGACAGAGATGGACATAGTGGCCATGCATTTATCATGCATACATGCTCCAGGTGGCTGATTCGGTGGTCTACAACAGCATGATCAATGCATGTCAGAATCCTATGCTGCGCATAATATTGCCACATCTTGAATGCGGAGAGCTTGTGTGGGGAAACCTCTGCGAGGTGCCAAAGCAGGAGATATCGAACGAGCTGACTATTGGTTGGAACGCATGCTGCAGGATAGCTGCGATTGGACTAGAAGTTGGGTGCCTCTCCAGCTACATTATGTGTGACCGTCGCACAGCAGGCTGGAGTGAAGCCGGACGACAAGACCTACAACAGCTCCTTTCTCAGACAGTTGGCCTGGCTTTACGCTCCTTCCCGGCTCGACCAGTAAGGTCTCATGCACGCTTGTGGTCGAAATGGCAATCCGGAGAGGGCGGAGCTTTGGTACGCGCTTCTCGGATTAAGTTGCACAAGTGTTTTTCTTCTCAAAAGCATCTAGTTCTTTCACATGATAAGAGGTTGCTCACCAAGCCATCACCAAAAGGATTGCTCTGAATCCGGAGTCAAGGCAGATGACATCACAAGGTTTTCGCCCGGCCGCTTGGCATGAGAGAACTTCCTTTGTCGAGGGTCGCGCGTGCAGTCTGCTGTACAGGACAGGATCACTTTCAGCACAATTATCAACTCCTGCGCCAAAGCCGGAGAGATCGAGAAGGCCTGTCCACCTAACTGTGTGAGCTGTGGTGCTTGGGAATCTTGTTTGTAGCCCTGAGTGCTGTGCAGGCCACCTACTGGATCCAGGTCGCTGTTGCAATTGAAGCACAGGCTCTGTTTTGACAGCACGATTCATCACGTGTAGGAGATGGCTGACCACGGATTTGCTCCCAACCTCATGTGCTACAACTGCTCCTCGGCAGCAGCAGAACCATTGGGGACAGACCATCAAGTGGATTTCGAAGCGCCTCAGGCCTACTCCAGGCTTGCGCGGTGCATGGCAACATTGCCGCTGCCTTGTGGTTGCTCTGCTTGGGCTTGCTGTGCTGAAGCATTTGAGGAGACATCACTGAGGCAAGACTAGTAGTTGATGCTTTCTCAGTGGCCTGACTACCAGATGGATCGCTGCTCACAAGCCTTAATGACTGGGTGAATTTATGAACCCATGAACAAACAAGCCTATAAATGGATGAACAGATTCGTGGATGCACAACGATGGAAGCAATGAACCAGTCAGTCATAGTCAAGGCATGGGTTTCGCATACACCGAGGAAGGGGGATGCATGCATAGACTTTGGCAAGCCGTGTCAGCCAAGGCCGTGGCACAGCTCTGGTTCTCAGTGCTGACATCCAAAGGCTGGTCCGGGCATCTGTCAAGCTGCATGATTCTTCGCCGATGTGATGGCCTTTACGGCGCTGGCATCGACTATCAGGTTTGACACCGAGCACCATCACCTACAACTGCATGGTCAGCACCTTCTTGCAAGCGGGCCGACCTGAACTCGCCATGGCCACACGATGGCAGAGAGTAAAGCAGAGCTCTTCGACGTAAGATGTCGAATCATGGCTTCATGGCCCGTTTTGCATCAGGAGTGGATGTTCAGCATGATCAAGGATGGCTGCGAGCCCGATGCTGCACCATGGTGGCATACACGTCAAGACGTCAGGAGAACTGTTTGCACAAACTGTCTTTAACACTGAAATGTTCAGGTGACCTATGCGCTGCTGACTGATCAGAATGCCGAGAAGTTGCTGGATGGTTTCGGAAAGCCATTGCCTTGGGTCACAGATGCAAAGCATTAGTCACTAATGATTCGTGTCATTCCGACTTTTGGCAGGCATTCTGGTCGCACTCTGGCGAGGTTCATGCAGGCAACTCCCTGCATGAACATCGCTTTTCCTTTGCTTTCATGCTGCGTGCAGATCTCGGACGCCGCTCTTGAGCACAGGCACGCTGGTACTTGATGGCCGTTGGCGACGCGTACGTCTTTCTGCAGGCAATTGGGTCGAACTCACATGGTATGTGGAAGTTGGACCGGTGCAGACATGTGCAGACGAGGGCCGTCGTTATCTGCAGGTTAAACGTGCCACTTGCAATGCTTGCTTCTCTTGGCCAAGACCTGTCTGTGAGAAGTGACGTGCCATCTTCCCGCTGTGTGTAATTCATATGCAGTGTCTAGAAGCTTACTCTCAGACAATCATTCTAAACGCAGCAGAGCAGATAACCCATTGAAAGAGATTCGGAATGGGAAGCCTAGCTTTGAGAGAGGGCTATCTTCACGGCAGGCGGTTGTTGTGGAAAATGAGTTGGTTCATGTGTCCAGTATGTACCATCAGTTTAACAACGAAAGCTAGTGCAAGCCAGGCTGAGTTCAGCCTTGCTTTTGCAGGTCTGAAATGCGGGATTCTGTAAACTGTAGGAGGAATGGGGGTTGGGTGCGGTCAAGCAAAAATTCTGCCCCTTCGCCTAGGCCATAAACTCTTGATGGCACGGACCCATGGACCCAACCAGACGTGGTTGCAGCGCACGATAAAACTGGTCTTCTTCATAAGCTTTAGGCTCGTAGCCCTTTGTCCGCATGGACGCCTTGGATTCCTACAACCAAGGAGAGCACGGATCCTGGAACAGAAATCGTTTCTCTGCCTCTGGGCCCTGCGTCCTTATCCATGAAATGGACAGTTCGCAAAGTCCACTCTTCCACCGCCTCAGCGAGACAAAAGCCTACTCCTCGGCCTACGGCCTGTACTAACGCTGACTCCCAGCTCCATGATGGGTCCTCCAATGTCCTCCACAATTTAGGCCGTTACCCCCTGCCTCCAACCGAGACTCACACTTAAACCCTTACACAGTCATGCTTCTGGCGAAACCTTTTCAGTCTCGGTGACTTTGCTTCAGTTGGAGTCTTCGGAAGAAAGCAGAACCACGAAGTGAAGTGCACGAAGAGACCTCCAGCCAAATTGTGATTAAGTGGTGTATGGGTTAACTCGGGGAGGCATGGCTACCAGAGCCCTAACTGGAGCACTATGGCCAAAGCTTGCCAGAAGATGAGATGTTGGACAGCCATGGAGAATCAGGGATGTGCAAGGCGGGGTAGTGAGCCATTACCTGGGCCCTCGAACGCTGCACCTGCTGCAGGGTGCCCGTGTTCTGTGTCCTTTTAGTTGTAGTCCTTATCACCACGAACCCTTAAGCAATGGTGCCAGCATATCCATCATCTTCAGAGTCATAGTCATAGTCCTGATACTCGTAGGGTTACCGGCATCATTGACATTATCCTCAGCGGGATCAGCCTTCTTCAGAATTATTCTTGTCAGTGTCCTTGCGCTCATCATTGCCGTCTGTCGTCATCGTTGACGTTGTCGTCTGTATTATCAGCTTCCAACCAGTACTCATCATCACCACATTCCATATCGATCTGCAGTGTCGCCCTCATATCATTTCTCTTCCTTCGATTTTGTTGCCATTGTGGTTATAGGCATCATGAGCATAATCAGCCATGGAATCTACTTGTAGTATTTTTCACCTTGCAACACGACACCAGACCATCTATAGCATTGCTAGCGCCATTACGATCATCATTGCCACAAGAGGCAGCAAGAACATTATCATGGTCATCGCCATTGTGCGTGTCAGTGTTCCAGACAGTTGACGTCGGTGTGTCCCTGGGCTTCCATCCTCTTCATCATGATTGCACATTTGAGTGCCACCTTTAGCAGCGCTCATGGAATCATGAGTGTTACTTCCTGGCACCACCTCCGCAAGAGTCTATCCGTCTATGATTAACATCAACCATCTAGAGCCCATTGCAATCTCATGCCCTCAGCAGACTCTGCATCGGCTGCAAGAACCCCCACACTCTGACTGTTGCTGTTGCCACATCGCCATGTGCTCGTCACGACGGTCATGACATGTCTTGTTATATCTGAATTGATTTTTTTTTTTTTGTGTGTGGTCTTCTGATTTGCGGCGATGACGACGACTCTGATGATCGTGATGGTCATGAGGACAATGCTGTAGTGTTGCTAATTGTGATCTTGTTCAGGCTGAGCAGGGGGAGGACGGGAGGCTGCATCAGCGTTTTCTTGTAGGTGAGACGAACAATGAGTGCAGGATTGGATGGAGTGACGCAGCACGGGCACCCATGCAAAGGGCTGCCAGTGTGGCACGTGCAGCATTAGCCTTCTTTTGAGTTTCGATGCCTTCGTTGGCAGCTCCCCGGCGTCGTCTCCTCGCGAAACACAACCTGCACTCTGGCGGTTTGTTCTTTCTTTCTCCATGTTGCCGCGGCAGCGGTTGTCCTCCAACCTCTAAGTGGCAGCTTTACTCCTGAACAGAATTGAAAGGCGCGCAGAAGGGAAACCAGACATGCTCATGTCATGCTAGCGCAAGGCCTACTTGAAGTTGATGGAGCACTTCAAGATTACACCGCCTGAAGCTGTGTGGACCTCGGTGTTGGCGTTTCTGCCAAATTGGCATGTTCGGAAGTTAGCCAACAAGGAAAAGTCTAGCTGCTTCATGTACCACCTCTGCAAAAAAACCATCACAACATTAAGCCAACAGCAAAGCTCCAGGCCAGTGAAGTTCGATTCAATTTCAACAAAGCAGCCCCCCCACCTGACCACATTGATGCCAAATTGGTTGAGGGACTCTTCAGATCACCGCAGCGCAGCCAAGCTGTTGTTGACCTTGAGGTGCTCAAGGATATTGCCGGCTACATGATGCTCAAGCAAGCAAGCGTGCTGCCGGCACCTGCCAAGGCATTGCGAGACTGTGTGAAGCTCGTAGCAGCAATAGCAGCATAATTATGACACCCTGAGTTGTTGAGGTTTGTCCGCCTCCAGCTGTGAAGAAGCTGGACACTGTCAGGGGCCTTCCCGTTCATGGAGTGGTTTTTATACATGACGCGTCTGGCCAGGTGGGAGACGAGCTTTGCAGACAGGAGATCATGCTATCTGGTGAGATGTCAATTGTATTTAGTCTGCCGCGACCTTGGTTTACCGTGAGCCTCAGCCGATCAGTGAACACTGGTTTTTCGAGGTGAGACGATCTGTCAAGCATCCTCAAAGCGTTGACAGGACAGCATAATGGCCATTTAGGATTTGCGTCCAAACACTTGCATTCTTCCCTGCAGCAGGCTCGGCTGCATTGTTTGCCTTCGGCAGATGAGCAGCTACAAACAAAGATATTGATGTAATCACCTGAGATGTGCGGGGCAGCTCGCTGGCTTGCTCGTAGAATCGCTGCTGCGCGGCATTGCCCACCGCAAGATGTGATGTCCGGCACTGACTCAGGATTTTGCGATAGGCTCGAAGACACGGTTTTGGTTCATCAGAAAGCCATCAAGATTCTCCACTCTTTGTATGATAGTACATGTAAGAGCCTTGTTCAGCAATTCGGGCACCTTCCAGAACTCTGTGGATCGAGCATTGATCGCTCTCACCGCTTTTCTTGTCCAACAGCCAGATTTATTCTTTTGCGCTTGCGAAGTCGCATACGGCCTTTAAAATCAGCTTTGCAACCACTGCTGCAATGAAGCACTCTAGCTTCAACATGCGACAGCAAGCGCAGCTTCCAACTTCCAATGCCAGGCAGCCTCTGCATCCGACGGATGTAGGCTGCAAACTGGCACTCATGTCTTTCAAGATCTTTCACAGTTTCAAGAAGGCTGCTCCGAAGCAGTGCTCTCTTTTTTATGAAACAGCGCTGCTCTTCGGCTAGCCGTCGAGTCTTCCAAATCCTTCCTGCCACATGTCCGCCCTGTGCGTACAATGTGCCTTGTGATGTGCCTCCATACATGCAGAAGCGAGCTCCGCGCGTAGACTTTCGAGCCGCTTGCAAGAACACCATTCCATCAATCTGTAGTCATATGCCCATGCCTGCTGAAGCTCTTGAGCACCCGCTTGCAACGCCTGCAGCGCACTTTCATTAGCAATATGCAACGCACTGCCTACCTGGGCGGGTGCTTTGGAGCATCTCTGGAGTGAGCCGCAAGAACACAATGGGATTGCGCCTTGCCCGAAATTTTCAGCCCACTGGTGCACTGTTTTCTGACCATGAAAAGTAAGCAGCATAGGAGACGCCATTTCTGCATGAGCCTGCGAGAGAAAAAGTTTCACATCAAAGTTTTCAGTTGGCAACCAGCTCTCTTGGCTTTCCTGCATTACGAGCTGGTCGGAACACGAAGGTTGGGAACCTTTGATAGTTCTGCTTCATTCCAAGTGCCAGGACGATCCTTCCAGTTTCCACCTGAGCCCCGAGCTTTCTATATTCCCTCAGTTCATGCTCGGACCTTGGCAGCTGCAATGTGACCTCGTCGCGCGTAACCTCGAGTAACCCCCAAAGCCGTGTGGTAACAGGTATCACTTGCGGCGGAGCAACTTCCTGCAGACTTTCAATGCTAGCCCAGATGAGACTGCGTATTATCGAATGCCATGGCCTTACAGGAAAAGCGCCTCTATGAATTTGATCTAACAATTCGCCTGCCAATGATGGTTCACAAGGTGAAGTTACAAGCTAGACTGCGCGCAGGCTCATTCTGCGGGAGAATACCATGAACTCTCTCGTGATGATCCAGCCTGCCTTGCTGTCCGCTGCTTGGAGATTGCATTGGTACATAGCAGTGCCTCGAGCTACGCAAGCTAACGAAGCTGGGTCGTTTCCGATCGCCTGGAGTCACGATCCACTGAAGCAGTATTTGATAGCTTGCTCTTCAACCAACATCCTGACATCCGGATGAAGCATATCGTGACATTTTACCGACACGGATACCAGTGTAGCAATCTCTGAGCCGCTAGACACACCAAGGCAGTACTCGTTTGACGAGGGTCCGCCTCAACCTGTCCTGTTGGACGCTACTTCCCTCAAGCCTTCGCCTCGTTGCATCAATTTATCTAACTGCGGTCGTGATGTGTCAGGAACTGGTGGCTGACGTGCAAGATTCTCAAAATCTGGGCTTAATAAGGAACCGGTAGACAGGAGCCATGGTGCACCCATGCCGGCGGCGGCTGGGACTTGCCTATCCGGCTCTGGCAATTATTTTTGCAGTGGTGTTGCAGGCCTTCGCAGGGCCTGAGCAAAGAGTCATGTGTGTGACAGCTCAGCGCAGGGTTCAGTGTGCAGCCGCCAAGATCTGACAACAGTCTTGTGTCGAGTTCTGGACATGTATTCCTAAAGTACATGGGCATTTCTTTCACGGAAGCTGCAAAAGAGCATGCAAGCCGTGCGAGCATGTGAACCGGACATTTGAGCACAACCAACTCAATTGATTTGCTTCCCGTGCCACAGCTTACAGGACCTCAACGACGTGGTGCAGTCTCTTGCATTTACCGAATCCCCTGCGCGCTTTGGCTGGTCAAGCAGGCCATGCTATCTGTGTCGAGAATGACCCCAAACTGTCTTCCTGGCACCAGGTCGAGAGAGCTTTCCTGCTGCCGCTATGCAGAGATGGACTACAGTAGCATGACAGTGAAAGATCTCAAGGCTCCGCGGCGAGAAACGTGTTCTGTTAAGTTGATCCACTGGAAAAAATAAGTACATGCAACCGACATGCAACGAACATGCAATGCATCAAGGGGGTCCAATGGATGTATCTCGAAGATCTTTGAAAATCTTCCCGCCAGGCCCGGCTCCGTGAACGCGGTCTGAAGCTGGAAGGTCGCAAGGCGGACCACCTTGCGGTGGATTTGGCCTAGTGAGTCATGGTGTCATGTCCTCTCTGGAGGCCGTCCTTATAGAGCGCCTGCAAGCGCATGATGCAGATGAGGGAGATGCGGCTTGACTGGTCCAACACAGGTTGCTTTGAGCTTTCAGAAGGCCCTGCTTGCCATTTGTGAGCGCATGCCCTGCGCCCAGGATGCGGCTGAAGAAGAAGAAAGCTCCTCGTGACTTGGAGTTAGTCTAAGTCCTGGAGAGTTTCTGTTTTTCGTCTGGTGCCTTAAAACTGCAGAGATTGAACGCATGACTTGTGAGACCCGTGCGAACTTTAAGCTGCATGTTCTGGATAAGGTCTTCACCCTACTTGAATGATCAGGGCTTGCTCCCGGATGGCACGTACATGTGCTTGGATGGCAAAGCTCGCACTGGAGACTGGGAGAAAGCCAAGAGGCTTGTGCATGTGTGGGAAGCTGGAGCGGAGCAACTACTGCTTTCAAAGTCGTTATGTGCTTGTAGCCCTAGAGCCACAGTGGCAAATGCACCCGTGGAATCCTGGTTGAGAGTTTGCTTCAGGGAGAACCCCGACGACCTCGCGTGGCTCACCGAGTGGGTGGTCGCTGCACGCACTGGTCAGCTGGAAAAAGCAAAGGGAAAGTAAGATGAGCCCCTTGGCAGAGAGAGCCCAAAGGTGCAGATTTGGAGAGGGCAACATGATCGAACGGGGGTGATGGGTCCAAAAATCCAGCGGACAAGAGCTCCTGCCCAGCCATCTTGGGAGTTCCACTTTGAAGACAACACCGCAGGCAGTGTCAGGATGAGGCTTGAAACCACAACGCAACATGCGACTTTGAAAATCACATTAGTCTGAAATGAATCATCAATCCCACTAGGGAGATGCCTGGGCCTGCATGAGGGTCTCGCATGTGTTCAAAGCTCTGAGCCCGCAAAACAAGCACCAACCTAAAGCTAAACAACTCCAAACGCCCCAGTAAAACAGTGCAAGACACCAGGAGTCAATGAGAAGGGTGCCGTGTGACCATGTCATGTGCAGAAGATGCTAGCAAAGCAAGATAGAGGCGAGGGACATGAGAATCTCTCCACCGCGATCAGATGCGATCAGTGAAGTACCAAGAAAGGAGGCTTTCCAAGTTCAGTCTAAGAGCACTCATAAGATTCTGAGAGCTCTACAAGTATTCCTGGAACACCAAAAAGCATTCTAAAGCACTGCAAAGCTTCGCACCTCGGTCTAGGACCACTCGAAGCGCAGCATGACTCCGAGAGAACACTCCAAGACCTCAGGATTGCAACGGCAATCCAAGAGCACTCCAGGACCACTCCAACAGCAAACTTACGAACGAGTGCTCCAAGACCACTCAAACCACGCTCCAGAAAAGCCTCCACTCGAAGAGCACTGCAAGCATTTAAAAAGATGAGGAAGCTCCAAACAAAAGTCGACGACAGTTTAAAAGGATAGCAAAACGGAGGTTCCAAAAGCAACCACACCACAAGTTCGCACTACCAAAGGGACATGCGCACTGGACTCTCGCAGCAGCGGGATCTCGAGCCCAAATTGTGGAGTAGCCGCTGCACGCAGGAGTGAACTCAAAACTCCGCTGATCCACCAGACTTATGGCGAGGACACGGTTTTCGAACCAAACTGCGCGGCCAAGAACCCCCCAAGTGTCAATGCGCTGTACGGTTAACTTTAAGCTGCAGGGGGCAACGTCGGGAATCGGGAAGTTAAGACATGTTGAGACTTCAGACTTCGACATGCTTTGTCAGCTCTGCTTAGGCCAAAGTTGCACGTCTGAACCAAGCGCGCTGGAGGCATGAGGGGCATCGCGGTGGCTAGCAGAGACTCGGACAGCAGCACGACCTTCATAACGCTGACCAATGCGCACCGGCGGCGAGGAAAGCGCGCCGATTGTGACAAGAGTCTTACTGGCTGACGCTGTCGGCTTGCAGAATGGGCGGCGTGAAAAGGGCAACCTGTGAAGCCTGACGATTATCTTGATATAGTCATATGGGTGGTGGACGAGCCATGCTTCACACTTCTGAGAATGCAGCGTTTTGCCCAGGCCAAATGTGATTCTGTTGTTGGATGCATTCTTCCACGTCGTGATCTGGCGAGGCGACCGCCACAGTTATGCTAGAAAGTTGGTGATGTTCGTCAGCTCTTGTTTGTTGGTGGGTGTAGAAAGTCACTCCAAGACTGTACGTTTTGTCAGCGCGCGTGGGTGGCTGGAGGTGAGATGATCCAAGCCTGGTATGATGCAGGCTACCAGGTGGGCTGAACGGAAAAGTTTGCGGCAAAATTGCCTTCTGCCTGGACATGCAACAGGAGAAGGAGGAGTACGCAAACTTCAAGGCAATTGTTGACCGCGGCCGGGCTGATTTTTGCGAGCTGGGGCTGTCATCCTTGCCTAGGCGCTGCTGACAGCGCCCGCAGAAGATGCGAAGCACATTCTAGCAGACCGCTTTCCTGCCAGCTGCTTATTATGCATCATGCAGAGGGACTTATCCAAGCTTTGCTCGAACTGGAAGCAGCACCCCGAGAAAAAGAAAGGTGCCAAAGTTCATTCAGACCAACGCTGGTGGATCCCAAGCGAGGTTTCTCACCTCCAAGGTCGGTGCTGGTCTCAGGTGGTTCCAATCTTCCACATTTGTCGCGCAAAAGGTGAATCCATCGCAGACACATAATTCCGGAGCGGGGTGGGGCGGCGCGTCCGACTCCTCTGCTTGCGCCACAGTACAGAGACTTACCATCCAAGGTTGGAGCTGCTTCTTTCAGTGCTTTGAGTTGCCATGCGCCGACGTCTCACATTCTCAGGTAGTCATCACGGACGATGTTTCCTTGAAAGTCTTCATGGAGCACTTGATAAGGCCCACCTTGGCACTCCTCTTGCTCTTTTCAGTCTGACGTATTCTCCACCATGGGTTTGCCTCCGGTTTGGCAGCAGGCATTCCATGCAGAGTTGCCAGAACTTCTCACATGCGTATACATCCGTAGGCTTTTCAATGGAAGCCACGCTGAGTGCAGGCTGGCGGTCCAATCCTGAGCTGCGACTTTTCGCAGCTGGGGTTTCGTTCTCGCCAGTCAGCAAACAAAGACTCACATCTAGTATGACCTTCGTGCTCTTGTGTATGCAAGCTTGGCAGGGTAGAATGTGTGTTTCCAATGTATATGAAGTTCGCACGAAATCGAGTCAAACGTAACCCGCAGGCAAACATGCTATGGGGTGCTATGCCCCACAAAGTGCAGGCTTGTAGCAGACTACCAGCGGCCTTGCGCGCTCTCTGCAAAGACTGCGCGGCCCAAAAATTCTGCATTAGCTCTGCAGTGCAGAGCTAGCAGCTAGCAGTTCTTTGGACCTCTTGATTAGATGCTCATTGTACCGGAAGCCGCGAGTGATCGAAGAACTTCTTTGCCTGAAAGCAGCACATCGGGCGATAGCTTTGATTCACTCTCAGTTCCAGCCAGTACTACACATTCTGTGAGCTTGTACGTTCGAAGTGCAGAAGTGCGGAAGCCAGAGAGACTGAAACAAGCATTCTTTCAGTCCGATTATCCTCTTCGTCCATGAGGGCTTGAGTCCATGGCGCCAGCCACGTGGATGTTGCGCAGCTACCCACTTCTTCACGAACAGCAGAAGTGGTACAGACACGCGCCATGTCTGACTGGACTTATGAAATGCTCCGATATGCTTTCAGTTGGAACGATGAGTCGAGCGAGAAAGCCCTCAAATATGTGGTCAATGGCCGAAGCCCTTCCGAGACCATGTCAGAGTTTCAGCTGCTAGATATACTTCTGTTGACCATCCTAACAGAAAAGGACGAGGTTGAAAGAACTTCAGCACTTGTATTTCTGGAAGAGCACGGCAAAAGTTTGGTTTTCGATTACTCACGACTCCACAAAGTTTATTTCGTGCTGGAGAATATCCTCGGCTCTCCGGTCGATGGCCAGGGCATGACCTACTCTTTGAAATCACAAGTTTTGGTCACGTACACCGCGCTACTGATACAATTCAACACATTTGAAACGGATGTGGCCCGCTTCGAAGGCTTTGTAGACCTGCTCTATTCCATGGTGAAGCATACCAACAAATCTGCCGATCGGATTCTCCGAGCTTATGCATGCGAGTGTTTGCATGAGTTGGAAAGTTGGCATCCAGGACTGCTTTTCCCACTTCTGGGAGAGGATTGGAACGTGCCTCCTATCTGGGCTGCTGGAATGACAGCTACAGCCCAGCAGGGCTCATCAGTTGGTGTGAACACTCTTGGCAAGTTTGCCAATGATGAACTGCTACACATTCAAGAGAGCTATGCCCGGCTTTTCTTCACTACCATCCAGCATTTCACAGAGCAGTTGGTGCAGGAAGCCTTGAAGCACCAGCCCGAAGAAAGGCACGACTTGACGGAGCTGTCCATGACGCCGCTCACTACCCCGGCAGGATCACGGCCGGGGACCCCGCCGTTGACTCCGCGAGGCTCTACCCCCTTGGAGCCTGAGCCAGTGGGCCAAACAATGCCAGTTAAAAGCGATTCCATGTTCCGCTTCCACATCCCCAGGAACTGCCACCCAGGCCCAGAGTTCTCATTCGATCTGGCAACGGATCAGACTCCTCCAAGGTTGCCTCGCAAGTTGGTGCGGACAATGACACGCAGCATCGGGTTGGTTCTGGAGGCGATGCCCACCTCCTCGTCGTGGACAAAGATTTTCATTGCCGAGCGCCTCAGTCTCTTTGTGAAAGTTCTCGCCCTGCCACAGCGCGTGGTCTTCCACCACTTCAGCCCACTGCTGCATGCATCACGACCGTCCCTGCTGCATGCCTTCATGGTGGTGAACGCTCTTTTCGCCAAGGAGCTGGACACGGTGGCAGAGGCTGTGGTCCACCGGCTCTTTGCTCTCCTGCAGGATGCCGCCATGGAATCCTGTTTTCGACTGCTTTCAGTCAGTTGGCTCATAGCGCTCTCGAGCAGCCAGCTTTCCTTCAACCTGCTCTGGGCACGGGTGCAAGAACTCTGCCCCCGCTGGCATGTTCATGCCTCAGAGCTGTGCTGCGTGAAGCATTCTGGATTGGGTATGGGGAGTACAGGACCCTTTGGAGCTGAAGGAGATGAAGCTGCAGGCCAGGCAGGCCATGTGAGGTTCAAGGTTTTCGGGAGTTTGGCACCTAGTGGAGGCCCTGCTCTACTGCTTCAAGATTTCTCAGAACTTGCCCAGCAATCTCTTGGCCGGCAGCTTAACGGATTGCCATGCATTCGCTGAAAGAACAGCTAGATGCGATGGTTGCTTATGCATCCAAGATCGTCCTGGAGTCTTTGTCGGAATTCAAATACTGCCACCGACCGGCAGACGACTCGTGAAGCGTAGTTGTCATACCATGAGGACTCAAACTATGAGCATCCAAGGTGGGCGCTCATGCGGTGGTCTTCCGCTTCCTGCTGCGAGTGCTGATTGATGCTTGCCCAGAGAACCGGAGAATCACTGCAGAGGGCAAAGCTAGTGAAGCTAGTCCCAGCCCGTGAGACTACATGCTGCGCAGCGGGCGCAGCGGGGTCAGCGCAGAGCAGGGGGTAGTCAGAAAGTCAGTGCCCAAGCCCAAGGATTTTGCGCCAGAGATGGATCGACTGGAGGCCCGCGCACGATGCTCAACGCAAGGGCGTAGCCAACTGGCGTTCAGAGTAAGTTACGGCTGGTGCAGAGTCGAGGTTCGCCAGTTGCTCTTTTAAAGACTTGAGAGATGATGCCGACCAGCACCGAGCAGGTTCCGCAAGCATTGTGCGACATGCTGCCGGGGCCTCAAGGGCCATCAGTGCATTCGAGAACTTGAAAGAGTGAAAGGCGTAATGGATTTGTGGACATGATGGATCCGCCCAAATCTAGGCGATCGCATTTACGCTTGCTGCCATCGGCAGGGAGCTGAGTTCCAACATAAAGGCCTTGGCAAGTTACAGCCCAAAGCTCTGAGGTTTTAGCACTCAACCAGAGGGTCAATTCCAAGGCCTGGCTTTGAAATTAAGATTCGCAGGCGTTGCCTTTTTTTCTGTCTCTGGTGCTTCAGAGGCTGTCCAGTACAAGCTGCTGCACTCTTTGGGCCAGTTTGTGTCGCGTCTTGAACCTCCTTCAAGGACGCAACAATTGATGGAAGCTTTGGGGACGTGCAGGTTCCCGTGCAGGTTCAAGAAGGTTCAGGCATCATTTGCCACAGGATCCAAAGATACTTCGGTTTGCTGGTAATTCTGTCCGAGACCCCCTGGCTTGACCCAAGGCGGGATTCCCGGCAAGTCAAGTCAGTGAAGTAGCTCCTGAGGTCAATTTAATCGCTAGCGCGAGACCGCCTCAGCTGGTGTGGTTAAGGTTGAAGCAGCACCCCACGACCCCAGCTTGCGGCCCCACCGCCAAACCTCCCCAAATCCGTATTTGTGGCCTTGCGCCTAGGGGGGTTTGCATTTCAGACCCACCCCAGGCTGTGCGGAACCCAGCCGACCAGCCGAAGCCCTCCTACCCGCCGCCGAAATCGTGCCTATTGGGAGTGTTAACTTCCTCTCCTAGTCTCCGCACCCGGATCTCAACGCTGCAGGCCTCTGGCCTCGGAGGCCATGACCTGTGTGAGCTCTGCGAAGCTCTTCTTCGATGGTCGGGCTTTGTTTTACAAGTCCCATCATTTCTTCAGCTATATGTGAGCATGAAGGAGACACTGGACCTGACAACAAGTTGCATTGAAACGCCTCAAAGCTTGCACAGGATGCCAAACAGCATCAATCGTCACCTTGCCTCCCCTCCACCTTGTAGGATGAGAGGAGAACAACACCGAATGAGCTGGAAAACTGCTGTTGGTCACCAATCTGGACAGGCATGCATGCTGTAGTCACTAAGTTGCCACTGGAAAAAGCTGCGTGTGCAAGCAACAATTCTGCTATCCGATAGCCTGTGCCGGGCTATCCATCCTCATGCGGCTAGGGAAATGACGCAACCTGCACCAAGCATCATCAAGTAAATAAAGGGTACAGCCAGACTTGAAATGGTTGCGAGATTTTGCCGTCTTTGTACGGGTTCTTGGGCAGTACACATGACATGCGCTTTCCGTTTTGCCTGGACAGCTACGTCCTGACGGCGCTCCATCGATTGGTCTTCTGCCCGTCCTCCAGCTTGACGTGGGAAGCTGGCATGCTAACGCCTCAATCATGCGAGCATTCTCCAACGTCGTGTGCAGACGAGCGTGACTCCCAGGCGTGTGCTGATAACGTGTCGTCGGATCATCCTCTCGCATCCTCAGGACAGTGCTGGTATCATGGGAGGGAAGATCTGGCAACTATCAGTCCGCTGCAGGCGGTGATCTACCAGCCTATGCTCCGCTTGTTGCAGCACCTCGCTACATACCAGTACTGGCCCCAATTTGCTTTCCCGCTTCCACTTGAGCCTTCCTACGCTCAATCAGATTTGCCTTCTCTCAGGTCAGATGTCGACCTCCGCGATCGATCCTTGCTCTATCTGAGGCTCTTATTCGCGAAGCATGGGATAAGGTGAACATGATCAGCTTTTTCGGCGTGTCACCACTATTGTGGTCCGCATTGTCGCTTATTCTGCAATTAGGGCTCAAGCAAGCCATTGCTCACGTGTAGTGGCTGCCTCCGCGCTTGTGGCCATGAAGCAGAAGGTGCCAGACTGTACTTATGTGGTTCGCATGGCATTGCGTTGTTCAGAAATGGTGACGTCCTCTTAAGTGTCCAGGCAACTGTGTCATGCTCCCGCCGTGCCTGCCACAGATTTGTGAGACTGCTTCTGTCGGATGTGCAGAGGCTGTGAGCTAGAGAGCTGACACTGCGTCCTGTCAGAAAGGCAAGAATCGCAAGGCGCACTTCACCGCTCCGTCGCATATTCGCCGGAAGCTCATGAGCGCGCTGCGCCCCAAGATTTGCTTTGATGCAGTGGGCCCATGGAAGAGGGTGGAACACACATGGCCCAGGCCTCTCAGCAAGGACCTCCGGACCAAGTACAGTGCCTGCTCCTCTCCAGACAGACCTTCAATGCGTTTGCATCCTGGCATGCCGAAGGTCCGTGCAGTACCAATCCGCCGCGACGATGAGGTAAGGATTGTGCTAGAAGCTAAGATGCATGTCAAGAGGTGTAATTAGAGGGCCGCCTTCAACAGACTCGTGACCCAGGCGTGGCCACTACAATGACCGTGAAGGAAAGGTGACGCAGGTTTACAGGAAGAAGTTCCGTGCGCCACTTAGTGGCCTTGACTACCGAACGTCTGGTTTGCCACCAATTCCTTCAGGTATTCATGTGGAGAGGGTCACCCGCGACAAGGCCGCGCAAACATCAATTTGTGATGTGCGGGAGTATGCGGTAGTGGAAGGATGTTGATGAAGTCTCGGTGCTCACATGTTTGAGGCTAATGGTCAGCCCGTGCCAATTCCGATCCATCCTTCCAAGGCAAGTCGATGGGATGGAAACGTATGGAGTACGGAATGTATGTATGTCTCGTGCGTGGCTGTGTGGACGGCTACAAGCTGGCGTCTGTTCACAGAGAAGGTTGAGATCACGAAGCTGAAGCTTGACAAAGACCGCAAGGCCTTGTTGGACAGGACGGCCCAGCCTTGAAGCCACCGAGAAGTGTGTCTGCTAGCCCGGGAAGAGCGCGCTGCTCAAGCTCTCCTGACAGGAAGAACCGCGCTGTGAAGAAAGGAAAGTACACTGAGAAGGACACGGCATGAGTACTGCCGCCAAGAAGTCGATGAGGTGGGGACATGGCTGGCAGGATGCCATCTTGTGGCAACCTCAGTTTCCTGAAGTACCAAGGTGCTATGGCGCGGGGGATGGATCACACCACGTGAGCTCTGATTTGCCGGACAAAAGCTGCACTTCAGGGCTGACTGGGCAGGTTGATGCACATGGCTGCATCAGCTTGGTAGGTTGAGTTTAAATTGGCCGTAGTCTAAACTCCTAGTATCCCCTTTAATAATCCCATAGTCTAGTCCCCTGTATACTGTAATCCGCTAGACAACAATAACACCGTTAAGGAGTTCAGACTATAGATCAAATATCCCTATATTCCCCCAGTTTTCCATTTCATTTTCCGTTCTTTTCCATTAAGCCAAGATCATGTCAGGCTTCTCTCTCACTCGGGGCCTGCAGCGCTCGGCGCGCAGCCTCCTGAGCGCGGAGTGGTCTGAGCCGTGTCATCTCTCGAACGAGGGTTTTCCAAAATTAGGGGGTACCTTTCTTGGGGTCCCTAAAATCAGGACTAAAAGATTTTGGCGTCTATACGGGGGTCCCTATTTAAGGAAACTACCAGATCAGTCTGCCAATCTCCTGCTTGGTTACCAAATTGCACTCCGCTATGGTCAGGTCGTGATCTTGTGTTATCTGCAGTTTTCTTCTCGTTTTGTTTGTATGCCTTGTATTCTTGTACTGCATGGCTTAGGCTGTTCAACCCGCACCCGGCAAACATGCAGAGAATGACGCAGATGCAGGAGCCTCAGAGCAAATTGCCGCCGCAAATACCCTGAGCTTCAGGTCACATAGAAAAAATGACAGTGGCTATTGCCTTATTTCACTTCTTATTCGCCTGTCCTGCACAGCTTACATTGCAACCTGTCTGCTGGTTATTGTAATCCTACCTTTGCAGATGCTAAAGGCTGTCGCCAGTACTTCCAAGAACTGTGCGCCTCAACAATGGTCCAGCGAAGTGCTCAGCAACGGAGCAGGGCGCCAATTGATTTTGGCTGCCTGGGTTCCAACCACGAATCACTGCTGTGTTAGAGCTGAGTGCAGCACCGCTCTGCTCCTTTTGTTCAAGGCATGAGAGTTGTTGAAAGGTTCCATTTCTCCGCTTCGTAAAGTCACCCGACGAGCGAAGGAAGTCAGCAGCTCAGAGGCTTTTTCTATCTGGACGTGAGATTCGGGAAACCTGCCAGGCTTGGGCTGCTGGACCGTCAAACTGCTGTCTTTGTTTTGCCTCATGGCCCAGAAGGAGGCAGCTTTCTGAGACATGCCTCTTCGCGTCAACTTTCATGCCTGGCCACGAAACTGAGCATGTGACTGCAAGAGTTCGTGGTTTGGCAGGCGACTTGCTTACCAGCCAGTGGGAGAAGAGGCAAGCAAGAAGGATCTCTGGTACACATGTTTTCGCAGCAGATCTACAGGTGGGGTGACCCTGGCCTGGACCACAAATTCCCCGAAGATTGGCTGAAGGCATCAGAAGGATTCAGAGTTGTTTCCCAGTCCTGCTCCATGTCTGCAAGTTGGCCAAGCTTGCCGGGGAAGCTGGAGTTGAGGCCGAAGCAGGCCAGTGCCAGGACTGTGGGTGGTGTCTCAAGGGAAGTGCCCAGGGCCGGAAGACTCGAATTTGACACGACCTTTTACTCCAATCAGAGCAAACCTTCCTCTTGCGGATCACAGCTGTGGCCTGCCCGCAGATGAGCTGTCCTGGCTGCTGAACGAGTACAAGAAGCACCTACAGGCCATCATCAATGTAGATGATCGAGCGAACGCTGGGCTGACCTTGTCTCACTTTCGTAATCCAACTAACGGTCACGAAATTTCAAACTGAGTCAAGTCATGGCTCCGTGACATGCAGGCATCTCCATCCAGCATCCGCCTGCCTTTCACTTTGCAGAGCGCCTAGAAAAAGGAAATCTTTGGTGGGCTTCCATGGCTTGTCTCTTGGTAGGCAGTACGAACCCGCAACAGACATGGTATCAGAGGCCCATGGATATGATCATGGCAGTGCTGATGTGCAGAATTCTGCAGAAGAGGATCAGAGCCTGGAATGTCCTCGCCAACTTTTCTCCCTGGAGCTGCCTGGCACTCAGGTCTTTGCCGCTATACAGTTGGCGTCACATCTGCACGTTCGCATGCTTCCAATGAAAAGGACATTTTCCTCCAGCGAGCACTATGTCCCCATTGAGCCAATTCGAATTCCGCCTCACGGCTGCAGCACGGAGAAGCATCCAATAGAATCGGTAGGCGATGTCAACAGCTCTCTTCGACAGAAGCGACTTTGTTCACTTCGTGCAGCGCTTTTACTGCAAAAGGGAGCTACTTACCTTCAGCTCCGTGTAACCGAACCCAAGTAAATCCGATTTTAGCACTTCATTAGAAGATGCTCGGGAAACCCGCTCTGTCTACTTTGAAACGACCTGCTCAAAAGGCAGAGAAGATCTTGTGTAAAGTGTCCTTCGTTTTATAGTCCAGCGTGAAAGCTCAGAAGCTTACAGGATACATGCACAATCATCCACGTGTATCGGTGTTGCAATCTGGGCAAGTGAGGTTCATCGCTGCAGATGGTAGTTCAGCTGTGGCCGTCGCCTTGGGGAGCCTCTCTCAACTCGTAGCTGGTGCAGCTCGCATCAGCTGTGAAGGAGGATGGTGAGGGAGGTGGTTTCCCTCATTTGTCCTGCCGTCGTGTTCCCTCGGACATGATGCCTCGAGCAGCTGGATGTGAACATTGACGTGCAATGGCCAGGAACAAGCTGCTTTTACGGCTTCGGCCTCTCAGTCCGGTACCAACCTCCTTCGGGGTAAGCTGCTCAGGGCTCTCGAGTTCGCTTGAGGACAGTTGATGAGTAGGGAGCCAAGGTGAACATTGCCTTCAACGATAGCCTCAGCCAGATGTACTTAGGTGGGGCTGTCAGTGTCAGCATTCTTTGAAATCCAGAACCAGAAGGACCCACAACTGCCAGGTCAGCTTGAAGCCTTCGAGGTTGCCTTCCAGGCTGCTCGTAGCTCACCTTTGCCTCTCAATCTTCTCCATGATCTTCTCATCATCTTCTCATGCTCGGAGCCGTTCTCAGATGCAGTCTGTTTAGCATCTGTTTAGCGAGCAGGCCGGTTCGTGTTCCATAGTCATCAGGGGTTGGCAAGCTTTCAGATCAGTGGGCAGTTGCCTTCTGTGAAGTCATCCTGCAGGATGCGCTACCACTAGAAGCGAATGCTCCTTCAAGATGTGCTGCACCAATTGCTGTCCTATATTGTCCTATAATAAAGCTCCTAAGCAATGTCAGGGGCCATGGACCGAATGGAGGAAGCTCCAGCGACAGCGCGGGAGCCACGGGAGACGTCTCTGACCATGGCTGGTCGTGAGCTGATGCGGAATCGCATCGTGGCCCAATGCGAGGCCGCAGAGATGGCAACGCGGAGGCCAGGAATGGGAAATGATCGAAATGATCCGGCCTGGCTGGAGAGCTGTGACTGGCGCCTGAAACTGGGCGCTGCTTCGGCTCTCAAATTGAAGGGTGCGCCGCAGCTGATGGGAGCCCCGGAGATAAGGGCTGCTCTGGAATCCTCGGACGAAGCTGCTCAAAGGCTGATCCGCCGCACGCTGGCTGCCTCGAGTGCAGATTCAGAGTGCGACAAAGAGGAAACACGAGTTCGGAAATTATTGTGCAGCGATGATTGGAGGCTGCGCAGGGGTGCTCTCGAAGCATTGCAGAGGCAGACGCCTCCACCTTCGGAATTAACATCAGCTGTTGCAGAGTTGTGCGTTCGGGATGAGTGCCTGGAAGTACGAATTGCTGCCGTATGCGTGCTCAGACAGGCAGCTGCTGAAGAGGTGGTTAAGGCACTGGTGGCTTCGCTAAATGGTGCAACAGAACGTGAGCCTTTGGCCCAGGATAGTTTAAGAGCGGCTGAAGATCTGCTGCTTGAACTCTCAGGCGGCGCCAATGATGCGCTGGGAATGGTCCCGAACTCTGCCTATTTCGCAGATCTCGTGCAAAAGGCGCGCGCGAAGGAAGAGGAGACGACAAGATGGCAGCAGGAGCAGCAGGAGAAGGAACAGCAGCTTCAGGCGCAGCAGAATGAGCTGCAGAAGCTTCAGCTGCAGTGGTTGGATCTCCTCCCGGAGAAGCAAGTGATTGAGATGGAACAGATGCAACAAGCTCAACAAGCATCTATGGCACGATGCCAGGAAGCGCAGGCCCTAAAACGACGTGCAAGGCGTGGGCGGCGAGATTTCTTGGCCTCAGCTGCTGACAGCCGCTTGCAGTCGGAACCGGGGAGCAAGAGGCATGGCCTTCACGACTACTGGGTCGAGCAGTCTGCTGCTCGGTTGAAAGAAGCAAATGAGATGCGCTTGCGGTCTCCGGAGGAACTCTTGGAATCCTCTCCAAAGTTATTGGAGTGGATAGCAGAGCAACATAGTGATGGCATCTCCATGCATCTGCGGCGAGTGGCTGTAGAGCTCGTGGGCAAGCTAGGTCCCTTGGCTGGACCCGAACACCACACCGCTCTCAACCTTGCGCTGACAGCTCCCGATGCACAGCTGCGAAGGCTGGCTCTGCAGGCACTTGAGAGGCTGAGATCCGTGAACTCTGCGGCTGAGATTGCGAAGCTGCTGGCAGATTCGGACTCGACTGTACGGAAAGCTGCAGGTACAGCCCTTGCAGAGATAGGGAGCTCAGCTGCAGGGCATGCCGCCCAGCAGCTTTGCAGCATAGATGCAGAGACACGCAGAGCTGCTGAGCGTACTCTTTTGGCCTTCAAGGTCAGCGATGGTGAGCCGAGCTGCAAGGAAGGCCTGCTGCGACTTCCTGCTTTGCTTCCGCATTTGGAGCCGCTTCTGGACTCAGAGCTTGCAGAAACTCGGTCTGCGACAGCTTCAGTCATACATAGACTCAGGAAGCAAGCGGAGCATGCGGAGCCAGCGTGTGGCATGTCCGACATGTCCGCAACTACTCCGGAAGCTGTCCTTGCGCTGCTGAGTGTCCTCAATGATCCCGACAAGGAAGTCCGGATAGCAGCGCTGCGCAAATTATCTGCTGAGTCACCGCTTTCCCTGTCCCCTTCCTCTGCTTCCTTGCTGGCCCAATCCTTGGCAGACTCTTCGGAGACTGTGAGAAAACTGGCAGTAGATGTGGTGGGTGCCCTTAGCAGCTCATCGGCGGCTGCTGCGGGTGATGTCCTGGAGGAGCTCTTACAACACAAGCTGCAATCTGTCCGGCGCGCAGCGGCGGCTGCTATGGACCGCCTGGGTATGGAGCCGGTAGGCAGGCACTTAGCTCTGTTGGCAGATGAGGATGCCACTCTCCGTTGCAACGCCTCAGAGGCGCTTTCTAAACCAGAGGTTTTGCAGAAGCTCAGTGACAGGGAGTTGGCATCCCTGCTTGCCCTCAGCATCGACCCACATTGGGCAGTTCGCCTCGCAGTAGCCAAGTGCCTTTCCGCTTTGAGTCCTGACTTGTTGAAGAGACATTACAATCATGCGCTTCTCCTGGCTGCAGATTCTGACTGGCGTGTCATGCATTGCGCGCAAAAGGCGGTGAGTGTTGAGGTCAAAGCTGGGCGCGCTCTAAGAGCGTAGTCCAACCAGAACTGATCATGCATTCTCCCTTGCTTTGCCACAAAAAGAAAGTGAGCTAGCTCCTGCCAGAGTTTCTTTTGCAAACATGGTTGGATTGGGACCAAATCCAGGGACAGCTAGCAAGCATGGATTCATGTGTAATTTCTGCGTCACCCGCGCAGGATCTTTTTCTTCCTGTGCGCCTGCCGTTGGTGTTTTGGCGGGACTCTCAAACATCTGGTCTCGATGCCATGGCGCGAATCAAGATTTTCTCCCTGGGTGGCTGTCCTGCTCAGGGCACCTCTATTCGAAAATCTGTGGGGCAGTCTCGCCGAGCAGTCCCGGCAAGTTTGTGATCTGCTTCTGAAGCACAGCAAGCAGCTCTTTTCACAGGCCCTCCTGGTCAGTGAAGGCTCGTGCATGCTCGCTTAGCTGCTTGTTGGATAGCCTGCTTACTCTGGCTTAGGTCTTGGATTTGGAGAGAGGGACTATCAAGGCCATCCCTGCAAGAACATGTTCACAACTTCCAAACCTAACATCTCAGGAGCTAATACAGACGCAACTTGGACCTTTCGTCGTGCCGGCGGAGGCCATGCCTGGTGTGTCTCAGCATGGTGTAGCACGCCTTACCGAGATCAATTTAATTCCTGGGAGCCATTAGGTTCACGTCGAGGATGAAGACTTCGACTTCGAACAAGAGGAGTACTCCGCCAAGGGTGAGCCTGTGATGATTTTTGATTGCGCATGTCTCTGCCAGGTACTTTGATAGATGGAACAGCTTACCAGAGGGTGACATGGACTTGCCGGAGCAGGACCAAGCTTTTAGTTCAAGAAAAGTTGGCTTGAGTGCGCTCATTCAGAACTTCAGGAGGAAGATGTCACCGTCAATGTGGACACGACATTTGCTATATTGTCATGCGTGCTCTGTTTGCATGGTGCGCAAATCCCTTGGTGGGTGCAGGCTTAGGTGTGCAGAGTCACTCGGACTAGGCATGCAGCTGCATCACAAAGGGTTAGAGAGAGATTGAGGTCCCTAAGTCTTCCCAACTTCCTGCCCAGCCGCTTGAATCGGTAGTACTAGTGGTCCAACCGGCCAGGTTCGTTCCTCCCTGTTATCACCTGCTGATGAGGCTGATTGAGGGCTCAGTGGTTTGCGGTTTTTGCGCGTGCAGCTCGCAGTTGCTACCTGTCACCCATAGGTGATTTCCCATCATGGCATGGCAGGGACTCCATGATAGCTAGCCGAGACTTGGACAAGCGCTTTTGGAAAAGACTCCCATGAGTAGGACCCCATGCAAGTCGCTGCCACATTAAGGAGGAACCCGGTCAATCAACCTAAGCAAAGTATGCGTGACTGGTGTGCCTGGTGCTAGCTGCAAGGTTTGCGATTTCGTCCAACTCAACCATTGTGCCTCCATCTAAGCTTTGCCTGCAGGGATTTCAAAACGTTGCTGTCCATCGTGGCAGCCTGCCAATGACTACAGGCGAATATTGACAGACCGCTTCCAGCTTCTCTCTTATATGGTGCCTTCCAAGCATTCAGCATGTTGGTGCAATGTCCGAAGTGAACTTCCATCTAGATGACTCAGGACGCGTTCTTCTTGTCTTGGAGTTGGCAGCTCAGTTTTTGTCCCACCAAGAGTTCGGCGGTCTGTCTGGTTGCCGCCGTTTCGCTCCCGAGGTCGGGACTCTGCCATGCTTGCCGACCTGAGCCAAGGTCTGGACATGCGCCGGAAAAGACTTCCGCCTTGTTTCTAGGGAAGTGAATTTTTCTGTGAAGCTTGCAAGCCAGCTTTACTACAACTCAGTGTGATTGACGGAATTTATCTTGAACTTCAAGACTTGCTCTTCCCAGTATCCGCCACAGCATAGCGGCACGTGAAAATCTTGTATGCTTGATCAACGTTTGGAGGTGAACCTTGTTTTGAAAAGCCCAGCAGTTGACTCAGGACGCACTAAAATATGCAGGCGAAGAAGCTACAGCTGCTGCAAGCAATGCCGAGTATGAAAAACATGAACCACCTAAAGGCAAAGCCAGTTGAGACGGAGAGAATACAGACCGGGGCCTCCCGCCCTCTCCCATAGCCTGAACGAAAGAAAGAAAGAAAGTATACAGACCATCAGACCACAACAAGTTTCAGACATCGAGATCCGTGGGCTTTTCCTGTATGTATTCCGGGGAAGAGCTGGAAGTGAGTCAGCCAGACTCGTTTTGCCCACCGTACCGCCATGTCCGGGGAGTTGCTGCTGGCTGCTGTGAGCTTTTGCTTGCATGTGACATCTGCAAAAGGCTGGTGGTGCCAGGCTTCTCATGGTAGCTGTGCCGGGCAGCGCCACAATTTTCAGGAGTATTTGCAGTTTAATGAAGAGGCCGCGACGTCCCTGCCAGGTGAGCCTCAAGTTGCCAACATTTTGGTTCGAGGTTTGTTGCACATTGGTTGTCTACACATGGAAGCAGTGTGTATACATACATGTGTACAAATGATGTTTTCGTGATCGCCAATTGCATGGCTTGGTTTATGAGGCCTTGTCCTCGTCTAGTAGTCTAGTAAGTGGAACTCCTAGCTTCGACTGGGTGTTTAGGGAAGAAAGGTTTGACCCTGCTCAGGTGATAATCCACTTTACGGTCGACCATGGTACGATGCCGCATTCGGCACGTTTCGCATTGCGGACTGGGATGGTGATGGCGATGTTGATGTCTTGGTGGCCGACACGGCCTCAATTTGGTTTTATGAGAGACTTCCCAACGGGACTTTCCAGAAGCAGGAGTTGCTCGATGGCCCGACGGGACCGACTTGGTGGGCTTGATCCCTTTGATTTCAACAACAAAGCTCAAGTGCGGCGTTTTGAAATTGCAGACTGGGACGGTGACCAGCAGACGATAGAATTTCATGTCGTTGTAGTTTTCTTTCTTTTTGCAGTCCTGCTCTTTGTCTTATGGGCTGCTCAAGGGAACCGCTGCGCTTCATCAAACACCCCTTCCAAACTTCTTGCCACTAGCAGACAAGCGTTGGCTGCACAGGTGATAAGAGGCTGGACATGCTGCTTTGCATTGTGGTGAGCAATGTAACGACCGTGAGATTTCTGAACCACTCCCTCCAATTCAGCGTTGGTTTCTCAGACTCGCTTCCTGAGAACTTGGTGATTTTGCAGACCACCGGGTCTGGGTGCGACATGCGAGCCGTCGATTTTGACGAGGATGGTGACCTGGATCTCGTTATGGGTGAAAGCAAAAAAGACAAATGGCGGCCCAGATTTCACAGATACTTTGATCGAATATCAAATGATGTATTGGAGGAGCTCACTGGAGAGCAGAATCCCTTAGAGGTCTTTGGAGGCCAAGTGCAAGAAATAGCTGACCTGGACGGTGATGCGCGCAAGGATGTAATCGTGACTGACCACGAAGACGATGAGCCGTATATTCCTTTCGGAAGAAAAAGTTTTGGATGGCGATGCTTCCGTCGTACAGCTGCTGGTACTTTCTTGGAGCCGCAGGAGAATCCACTCGGAGAGATCCAATTCACAAGAACATCGTGGAAGAACTTTGAGGTGCACGTGGCAGATTGGAACTCCGACGGACTGCCAGACTTTTTTTTCTGGAGGTGGACACTAATTTTGGCAAATGGAATGTGAGGGCTTATCAGCATGTTGTGGACCTAGACCTGCGGCGCAATACTCACTTTGACGCCTACAAGGAGATCAGGCCTGGGATCCAATTCAGCTTTGCCACTGTAGACTGGAACAGGGATGAACTTGAGGATGTGGTGATTATGCAATACAACAAGAACAAAGGGCACTTGGAGTTGCTCTTGTATGAGTTTCAGTTCGACGCCATGAAGGAAATTGCTGGGATTTTTGACAACGTTGCCCAGAGCATGAAGGGTTCGGATGTTGGCAGGAACTTTGTGACTCTGATTGACTGGGATCTAGATGGGGACCTCGACCTCCTCATATCGTCCGCATTTGATGGCAAATTGCATTATCATGAGATGGTCTCTGGGAGTTTCCAGGAAGAGGCTTCATCGCATCCTTTCAAGAATTTTCAACTATACACGAACGCCTCTTTCAGACATGGCTTTGTGAGCAAACCCATGGTGGTGGATTGGGATGCAGATGCATGGATTTTGGAATGTACTCTTTTATGTTTTCCCATTGTTTAATCAACCTTTCGAGGAAGATTCTTCATTTTGACAGCAAAGCTAAGGATGGTGACCTGGATCTATTTCTGAGTCCACCAGACGGTCGATACTTTGAGCAGTTGGCAGATGGAAGTTTGTATGAGTGGCCAGTTGAGCAAAGCCCTTTGGTGCGTGGTGTGAACCCCGCCTTTTTTAATACAGCGGACCCCGATTTGTATGGCGTCTCTTGGCATTTTGTGGACTGCGATTCAGATGGCGATTTTGACCTAGTCTTTATACCTCAAGCCAGGGGCTTTCCCTCGAAAATCAAAGAGCACAATGCCACACATGAGTTACAACGCGGCACTGGTCTGTGCTTGGGTACAAATCTCAGTCAGTACCGGGGAGGAGCAGCAGCCTTCAACAAGAACGTCTTTTCTGTTTCGAATGGCCAGCTGAAGTACTTTGTGCATCGCGCCTACCCCCTGGGAGAAGTTGCTGGGGATTCCATCGAACAATGGGCTCCTGGATTTTGCATGCCAACTGACCCTTGCCATGAAAAAGGAATTTGTGCGTTTGGGCAGACGCATTGCAGCTGCATTGTGGGCCACAAAGCAGCCGACTGCTCAGGCTGCCAGCAACAGTATTATCATAGCGCACGCTCCCAGAAGCTGAAGGCGCCAGATTGCAAGGCGTGTCCTGGTGATGGCCAGGTTTGTTTTGGTCGTGGTTCTTGCTTCGATGACGTGGTGGCTAAAGGTCTTGAGGAGTCTACAGCTGCATGGATGGCCACCGGCAATGGTTCATGTAGCTGCCATGAAGCCAGTTTTAATGGTACAGATGCCGAGAGCCGAAATACATGCATGAATGGAAATTGCCCTGCTGGCACTGAAGAGAAGGCTGGTAGATGCAGTCTTTGTCTTGGTGGATCTTTCTCCATTGCTGGGGGCCTTTGCGCAAAATGCAGTGCTGGGAAGTTCTCCGTAGACGGAAGCAGCACATGCTCAAGTTGCTATCCTGGAAGAGTTGCGAGAGAACCAGGCAATTCAAGCTGTGCAGCTTGTCCGGCCGGAAAGCATGAAATGGACAAGCAGTTTTGCGCCCTTTGCCCAGAGGGCACCACTTCAGAAGCAGGTAGCAGCTCTTGCAGCCCGTGTGATGCTGGCCGTTTTGCCAAAGAGTCCGTCTCATGTGAGCTATGCCCTGGTGGGAGTTATGCTGGCCGTGGAAGCAGCAGATGCCTGAGGTGTCGTGTGGGGAGCGTCTCAACTCCAGGCAGTGCTGTGTGCAGGAGTTGTGATGGCCTACTCGTCCGAGCCAGCTCTGATGAGATGAATCAAACATGCCAAGTGGACATGCTGGACATTGTTTGGGGCTTGGTTTGCTGGTTGGCCGCGGCCACGTTCTGCTTCCTGTCTCTGACTTGTTTGATGGGTCGTCTTCCCATTTCAGATATCTCCGTGCAGAGTGAGAAGCTGGTGATCACCACCGCCGTGGCGCACTACCTTCTCAAACAAGCACATCCTTCTGTATCTTTTACTGGCACTGGTGTACCCGCCTTGGATGCGATGGCGGCATGGAAGGTGACAGTCTTGAGCTTGTACCAACTTACGCTGCACGGCGAGCAGGTCTCCATGCCGTTGGATACATCAATGGGGCATTTGCACCTCAAACTACAGCACCGATTGTTGTCTGTGGGGATGTGGCATTGCCCAGTCATTGTATGGTGCTTGTTCTTCGTTGCGGTCGCTGCAGGCGCCGCAACCCAACTCAAGTGGTCTCTGGCTCTTGTGGCGTGGGGTCTTGGTCTTTGCACAGGCATCTTGGCCTTTGCGTTGCGGCGAAGGCACGGCAATGCTCATTAAAAGGAGCCTTCAGAGCCAGACTTGCCTTCGTAGGCATACGACAAATGGTTGAACCACCCCTAAACCCTAAACACCGAACCCAATCTTCTATTTGATTTGCTTCCCTTCGCTAGGCGAGCTCAGAGGACTCCACTTGCGAAGCGGCGACACCAATTTCTCACAGAGTGGCCTTTGGTGCTGGCGCGGTGTGACCGAGGTCCAGATCGATCGATTACAGCAGGAAAACTTCTGGACTTCGTGGAGTCGCTCGTTGTCTTGTCCAGCCATTGGTCATTGGCTGTTGGGTTGGCTTGGTTTGTTGGGCTGGCTTGCGTTGGAGTTTTGTTGGGTCTTTGAAGTTGTATCGTCTTGTGTAGGTCCGATCAGACGTGGTGTTTCAGCGTGTGCTCAGCACGGTCGAAGGTACACATTTGGACCCTTTCCGTGCGCCAACACACACAATCAATTTGAACTCCGCACTGTCTTTCTTGACACATATTTTGACCAAGCCTACGTACCCTGTATACCAGGGATTTGCTTGCTGGGCCGATGAAATGATGTGACCTCGGCGACGGTGAAACCTAACCCCAACCATGCAATCATCTCCTGTCTTGGGGACCTTGCAATTCAAGTCTGAGTTATGTGTATGTACACACATCATGACACGTTGCGTGAGTTCTGCAGGAAGACGAGGAAATTAGCTAGAGGTAAAGCTTCCCTGAGTTATCAAAAACCTTATTGATTGCATCAGGCTTTTCATTTAGAATATTTGCGAATCCATTGAATTCTCATCAAGTCATGGAAGTACATTGATCTCAGTCCAATTTCTCATTGATTAGTTAATCTCTATTAATTTTCATTGAGAACTAGTGAGTCTTAACGGAAATTTCGCTACTTTTATTTGATTATTCATGATTGTATTTCATGTTGCAGAGTTGTTGTTAGTATTACGGGAAATTCCTATTTAGGACCCGTATTGGCAGAAACATCAGAAGTCCGAACCGCTCGGGGGGGCGGGGTCGAGTGGGCATCCTTCTAGTGTCGAGTGGGCATCCTTTTTAGGGTCGAGTGGGCATTCTTTTTGCGTCAAACACCACTGAGGTGCGGTCCGCTGGCCCCCTCCAGAAGGGTTCCAGAGGGGTCGAGCGGGCATCCTCGGAGTTCTGCGACTAACCCTAAACCCTAAAAACCCTAAACCGTAAAGCCCTTAAAAATCTCCAAAAAGCAAATTACAAACCCTAGAACCACATAAACCCTAAAAACCCCAAACCGTAAAACCCCTAAAAATTCCCAACATACGAATTGCAAACATTAGAACCACCTAAACCCTAAAAACCCTAAACCCTAAAACCCTAAACTCTAAAAACCCTAAACTCTAAAAACCCTAAACCCTAAAAACCCTAAAATCCCTAAACCCTAAACCCCCTAAACCCTAGAA